TCTTACTTTTGAAAAACTTAAAAATATCATTTTTTATATGACCAATTTAATTAGTTAATTAAACCAATTCAACCAATTGAACCAAACTCAATGCCCAAAACAGGTCAAACACCGAGTTGATTCTTAAAACGTTAATTGCAACATGAAGGGCAGAAGCAGTTTCATGCATGCACCAGGGTTAAAAACAGTGAGAAATGTGATTAATTTTCACTCAGGTCAAAGTGTCCTGATTGATGCAGATTCAATTTGATCATGGGAAACTAAAGAAACTAAAATGTAAATAATGAAAGCACATTAAGTATTATTAACAATGCAATAAGATGCCCAACAAAACTTAACTAAATTAATACCAACTAATTATAAAAACTTGATTTTGGATGAAAGATTCAAGAGCCTACATAATTCAATGCAGCTACCTTCCTACATACTACCAAAAACTTGACAGTAATAGGAGGATGGCTTTGTCACTGAGAAAGGGAAAAATTTTAAATATTAAAATTTTTAATCATAATTATTAATTATATAAGATATAGTATAATATAACTTTATTAAATTTATCATGTAATTATTATTAAATGTCTTAACATTTTTAATATTAAAACATCTTAATTTTCTCGTCTCCTTTGGTCATTTTATTAATTGCTAACACAATTTTCAGTACATCAAAAACTCACATTGCAAGCAAAACAATTAGACCACTTGACAGCTTAGAATCATGAAGCATTATGCAACATTACGCCCATGCAAGTGTTTGCTGAAACCATAGGATGACACGAAATTCATACTTCAAATCTTCATTATGTAAATCATAGAATGTATGCAAATTTAATAACTACCTTTATTTCTTTGTTCTGAAAACTGAAAACAAGACACATCAATGTAAAAGAAAACAAAAAGGGTAAAAGCATAAATAATGCTTATCTTGAATTTTCTTTGCCAAACAAGGGCATGATGCAGCAGGGAGGAATCTGTGCTGCCTGGCTGGCTGTTCATAGGGATAGTGACTGCTTAGACACCACTCATAAAAAACTACATACATACTGTCCTAATGGAAAAGCGTAATTTTTTCCCATTAGGCAATTGATACTTGATACAAGTATTGTACATGTTACACCTATTTGTATGGAAATGCAAACCGTATTTGTTCTCTTTGTCGAATCAGAATCCCATCCTTTGGAGATGATGTCTTTCCGCATACACCTGCCTGGCGCATCATCTCTGCAATAGGCACTTTCCACGTTATACCTCCATTAAAGCAGATCTCAAGTCAAGAAAGCTTTTACCAAACAAGAAACAGAACATATAATGATGGTAGTTGTAAGAGGAAAAAAAAGAAGCAAGTGTCCTTTTTTGACTCGTGTGATATATAAACAATGATTAAATCAAGAGAAAACATCACTTCAGTCTGTAGTTCTTCCTCTACTCATTCAGCAAGCTCTAAGAGAAGCTAGTTAAATACTAAGCTAATTATTGTCTGATGAGATGAAAGCACTAAGTTCAACTTCAAAGGCGGTACTACCATCTCTAAATATCTTTTATGGGCATTTATGATATCAAATTCCAGCCCGCAAAAAAGGGAAAGAAAAGAAAAATAAATTGATCAAACGCAAGTTACAAAAATGGCTGAAATAAGTTTGAAATAATGTGCAGAGAAATAGAACTTGCCTCGTTGTCTTTCAAGCTCCTCATCAAGTTCTTCTTTCCATCTCTTTTGTCTCTCCGAGAAGCTCAAACTGCAATGCCATTCATAGGTTAGAAAATGGACATAGAAAAGAATCTAAAGCAACGACAAGATAAAGCATGTACTAAGGAATAGCTAATGAACCTAGGGCTAATTGTTTCCTGCTTGGAATCAAGAACAATCTCTTTTAATTCATTTATTTGAGGTGGCTGAATTTCCTGCAGAGCCCTATTGTGCATAGCAGCAGCATTTGATTCACGACGACCCCCGGGGCTAGCAATCTTAGCAGCATCAAGAGCTGTAGAGAATCTTCTGCTAGGTAGCCGTTTAGGTGACCTGCTTTTAGGTGGCAACAAATTATCACCATTTGCAGTTCCAACTGCATGACCAGTTGCATTCAACGTGTTATAGAACTCTTCATATAGAGGTGTCTGCAGCTTCTTCAATTCTAGAGCCTAATAAAATGTACAGAAAAAAAAAAAATTGCTTAGCTTTTATCATGCAAGTCTTCATTTCTATGAACAAAACATGCAACACATGATAATTCCATGATCCTTGCAAGCACAAACATACCTTTTCATCCAGAAAGGCCCTAATTTTTGACTCTGTAACTTCCTCATCATCGTCCTGTGCTAATGGCCCACTCGGAAAGGTGAAATCATTTTCCTCTTTACCAGGTATTCCAAGGCTACCATTAGCTTCAGCTGTTTGTCCAGAAGATAAGTTCATTCCACTTGTCCTCAGCTCTGGACTTCCATCAAATTTGCATGGCCAATCCTCAGTGGGTTCACTCATGGGATTGAAACTCTGGTCCAAACCAAATAAATCATCAGAAATTGTATCTTAAGCAAAATTTAAGCCTCTAAGAATCTGTGAGAAGAGGAATTTAAAGTAGATGTTTATTACCTTATTTAAATCAGAAGATGCTAACACAGAGTTGAATCTTACTGATCCACCACACAAAAGATCATCTTTGTCATCTATCTGACACATGTCATCATCACAATTTCCTGTCCTCGAATAGGATCCTGTTTGTAATAATTTTTCTGGATACACAGTTGAGCACCTGACACTATCCATTTCACAAACATCCTTCAAGCCAGAGCAAGTTGACCTTCTGATCTCAGGGGTTATTCTGCAGCAATGATGCAATTTCTACCCTCAAATTGCCAGAATAATAGAAGTTCATTAAGTTTACAAATCTCATGAAACAAAAATACGTACGAGTTTCTAAGATTCATCCCCGATATCCTCACCAGATTTCCAGGTTCCTGGCAAATTGACAAAACAAAATTAAAATGATAGAACGCTCAAACATGGAAACCTAACTGCAATTAACTTACCATAATTGAGTTACGAAATACTGGATGAGATTCTTGATAGTCTCCAGTGACAAATGGATGCTGCAGATGGTAAGAAAAAGATAATCACAGTTTTTTTCTGGCCAACAGATAATCACATTTGAAAAGTAAAATTCTACACGTAGAAATGTCAGTACATATTCTTTAGATCTTAATCTAAGAAAATGATCAGGAACAGGAAGATTATCTATGATTTGTGACTACCTGAAGCAAGTCTGAAGGAGTAGGCCTTAGGTTTGGTTCTCTGCCACCAAATAATATTGATATGCATAAGAATTGATAGCATCAAAATTACAACATAAAAGAATAAATTTCTTCTTTTTTTTTTTTTTTTTAAAGGGTCAGATAGCATGAAGAAGGAAAGATATAAAGATTGTACTTCTGCAAGCATTTTAATAGAAAGTCCTTTGCCTCAGAGGATAGATGATCAGGGATTGGTGGATGAGATTTAGTTGTTCCAATATGGAAAAGTGCGGCAACCTGAAAGAAATACCACTTCTTAATTTCAAAGTAATGGATAACAACAAACTAAATTCAGTCTAGAATTAGACTATGTAGATAAAATTAATATACTAAGGATTATTACACAGCTTCAACAGAATACCTCCTGAAACTGTTGGCTCCATGGGGGCTTTCCCGTTGCCATCTCAATCACAGTACATCCAACACTCCATATATCAGCAGAGCTATCAAATTGAAGTTCAAAACACATTAACTAATAAGATTAGATTATAAGGGCTATAAGAATCCATTTAATTTCTGACAGGATACAAAAATAAGAGTTTTGTAGTGTTATGCAACTGCCCAGTTACGATGCTTTCACTTAAAGCAGAAAAAGAAGAGAATACTTAATAACCAAAATAGGAAAATAAAGAATGAAATTTACTACAGGTCTGATTCTTTAGGATGCAAAACAAAGATGTGATGCTTATGGATAAATTTGGTAATATAGTCATCTACAAGCAGAAAGTTCTCTTACAAGCTATGCCCTGTCTGAAGAATAACTTCAGGAGCCATCCAATATGGAGTTCCCTTCATTGACTTGGCACCAGTAATGGTGGCCTGTAGAAAGGCAGAAAACCCATCAATCAAGTGTACAATCTTCATATACAATCAAATCTAAAGCATTAAAAGAATTGAAGTATTGAACAAATCTCTTACCAACTCAACCACTTTTTTTGATGCACCAAAATCTGCTAGTTTAATGCATCCCTTGTTATCAACAAGAATGTTCGCCCCCTAAATAAGAACAAAGAGTGTCAGAAAACATGCATGGTACACATATGTGCAGTGTGAGAAAGAAAGTATTCAGCAAGAAAAAATGTATACCTTGATGTCCCTATGCATAATTCCATTCTTATGAAGATATTCCAACCCCAACAGAAGTTGTTTTGTATACATCCTTACAACCTGGTCTCGAGAATATATATGAAAAACATGAGCTCACACAGAACCAAAAGCCCCAATTATAAATTTTAAAACCAAAGATCACTTACAGACTCGGGGAATGATCCGAATTTTCCCAGAAGTGAAGAAATGGAACCACCAGGGACAAATTCCAACAAAATATTCAACGAATCATCCTCTCTAACAGTTCCCAAATATCTCTGGAAAACCAAAAACAAAAAAGTAAAAATGTAACAAGAAAAATAAGATTATTATTTATATAGAACGACCCACAGACTTTCAAATAAAATACAAATTCATACTCACAACAATGTTTGGATGTGAAAGATTCTTTAGTAGCTTCACTTCTTCCTCAAGCTCTCTAATTTGAGCCTATTCCAATAAAGCAGGCAAATCCATCAAACTCTTATTTCACCTTTTTAATTTCTTACTAGAAAAACATCAACTAACAAACCCATTCTTTGATTGAAATTTTTAAGCATATTGTTTATCCTTCTAAATCTTTCAAATCAAACTTAAGACAGGCTACTTACCTGCGTTTTCTCCTTAGAAGCACTATTTGCCGCAATCAAGACCTGCCCAAACCAAAAATAGAAAGAAAGAAAGAAGAACATCGAATTAACCAACAATCACCGCATCCAGTTAACAGTACAAACCCAAACGCATCACAATTAACCTGTTTAACAGCTAGTAGCTCGCCGGAATCCAGATTCATTCCCATATACACGCGACCAAACGCGCCACAGCCTATCAACTCCCCTTTCCGCCACCGGATCGGCGGAGCATCCACTTTCCTGCAAGCCGGTAAAGCCGGCGGCTGCTGCTGTTTAGCGAACAATCCGATTCTAGATTTGCGAATGCTGGAACCGATCTTCTCGACCAAGCCACCAAATCCTCCTCCATCGTCGCCCGATGTCGTGGACCTGAAAACCAAGGATCGGCGAACCGATCCGAGAATCTCCTGCATCGGAGTCACGAAATCTCGTATAGTATCTTCACCGTCACTACAAATTGTTTGAGGAATGGAGGATCAGAGAGGAAGCGAGCTTCAGTTAGGGTTGAAGGAGAGTGGGGAGTGAAGGAAGGAAGGAAGGAGAGTGAGGAATTTGAAAGGAGGGAAAAAGGAAGGGAGGACTTTTTTCAAAAATAAAGAAATGGGAAAATGATGAGGGAGGAATAGTTCTGGATTTTTTTTTTGAAATTTTGGGATTGTATTGTAACGTTGGACCATGAGCGTGTCTTGCTGTTTCATAAAATTGAAAAATTGCAAATGAGTTGTCGAAAATTTTTAGGT